AGTCTGACAAAATCACAGCTTCTGGAGTTTATTGCTCTATAACACAGGTGTCAAAGCCAGTTGCTGGAGGGCCACAGCATGCACAGTTTAATTCCAACCCTGCTTCAACACACTTATCTGTAGGTTTCAAACAAGCCTGAAGGTCACAATTAGTTTGATCAGGTGTGTTTAATTAGGGTTGAAACTAAAATGTGCAGAACTGCGGCCCTCCAGGAACTAACTTTGACACCTGTGCTCTAAGATGTAATGAGGACAGCATGGTGGCTCAATGGTTAGCACTGTCGCCTCACAGCAAGAAGGTTGCTGGTTCGAGTCCCGGCTGGGCCAGTTGGCATTTCTCTGTGGAATTAGCATGTTGCTGCTGGAAGGGCATCCGGTGTGTAAAACTTATGCTGGATTAGTTGGCGGTTCATTCCGCTGTGGCGACCTCTAATAATCAGAGGCCGAAGGAAAATGAGGGAATGAATGTAATAGGATGGATCAGTGAACCCTTCTACTTCACTGCCTGCTTAGCCCTGTTAATATGCAAAACTGTTAGCCAATCACAGCAGTAGGCGTTTACTTCTGAATCTACAATAGGCCACGCCCACCCAAATAGAGCCTTCTGATGATAAGGGTCAAAAATAGAACAGAATATAGTAAATTACTTCAATATTATGATTTTTTTTCAGTGTAAACGTACCTCAGACCTCAGAGAAAGTTACAAAATAAACTTAATGCCTCATGACCCCTTAAAGTTACAAACGGAACAATTTATTGTGCTTGAAAGGTTTAAACTTTCTTGAAATGCTCACGAGCCTTGAAAACAATGATAACAAATGAGAAATCTTTAACTTTAGTCATTCAGTTTTATTTAAATTTATGGTTATGAATTGCATTATAGAACTTTAAACTTTTTATTATGTTAAAAAACTGTGCAATTCAACAGAGTGAAGTTTATTGACGTTTTAATCATATGAAATAATATACTGTATAAGAAATAATATAGAGATAATATAGCGAGTCTGTAAAATAACAGAAATGTGGCAGTTTATTACCAGGTGTTTGTACTATCATTTGGGTGAGACTAGCAGGGGGGCTAAACATGTGGTCTGTGTGGGTCTTAATGCCCCAGTATATTGATGTGGACTCTATACTGCTCAGTGAGTGCAGTCTTTCGAATAAGACGTTAAACTGAAGTCTTGACTCTATGTGGTCGTTTAAAATCCCAGGATGTCCTTCGGTGCATCTCTAATGTAAACTAACTTATTATTAAAATGGAAAATTCAGAAACTTCCATAAGGAAAATAGGAAACTTCCATAAGGCTGACGTCAGCATTGTGCAAGTTGTATTTGTTGCATCAACACTTTCAGAGAAAGACAGAAACAAAAACAGAAGGAATAGTAGATAGTGAGTGACCGTCAATCAGCCACGACAACTTCCATCACCGCTTTGAATTGTGTGATTAAATGAGAGTTTGCTCTTGCCATTCAAAGTATTTACACACACACACAAACGTCCCTCAACAAAACTATTGTCAGAGACAGAGAGAGCGAGAGAGATGGTGGATATAAAGAGCAGGAGAGAGACAGAGAAGCATAGAAGTGATGGGGGTGAAGTACTGTGAATGTGTGATATATAAAGGGATATACTGAAATAGATTGATCCGAGCAGACTTTCCCAAAATACCCACAATACTCTAGTGCCTCCTCACCCTGATCTATAACAGCTGAACAGCATTAGAGTACAAGAGCCTTGCCAATTCTACTCTTACTATCAAAGGCTGAGTGCGGAGGTCACAGATTAATTATACAGGTTACTACTGACATGCTAAGAAAATATACAAGAGGCTTGAAGCTGACAGTAAAGACATTGATAGAGATTTCCAGTTTGAATTAAGTGCTGTTTTTAACTTTCTGTTTATCACGGAATCATGAAATGTGTCACTGTTTTCAGAAATGCACATTAAGCAGCACAACGTATTGATGATAAATAATAACAGGAAATGTATGAGCAGCAAATCCTGCAGAGAGAGAGGGAGTTTTGAATTTATTGCCATATCAGCTTTTATGGCAAAAACAGATAACAGACATTTTATAAATAACACAAGTCTAATCATGTTTCAACTTCACTATTTTAAGATATATATGAGATTTAACTTGAAATACAGTGCTGAGCATTTATAACCCCTCACAAATCTCTCTTTTAAATCCATATTTTTAATCGGATGCTATACAATATTATGTTTGTGCATATATATGTACAGTACAGTATATATATTAGATTAGTCAGTACTAAAGCCAATCCTGGAGCTTATCCAACAAGATAACTTTATAATATAACTATAATAATGGTCTACAAACTAGTACACACAAATTTATGTTATAGAAAATATTTAATACAAATTTTTAAAAGAGGAAAAATCAAAAGAAACAAAAAAACATTTAAGAAAAATTTAGTTTTTTCAATATTTTGCTTGAATTTACTTGTATTCCTTCAATTTCTAAATATGTTTGGTGACTAAAATATTATTTGAATAAATATATCTGAATATATATCTATATCTGTTTAATAAATCTGTTTAAATGCACTGAAATAAATTGCCTATATTCACTGAGAAATAGATAAAAATATCCATTTTCAAAATGGCGTGTACTCAGTTATGCTGAGCACTGTAGGTCAGTTTAATGTACATTGATATTTAATATTGCTAATTTGATTCAACTTAAACATTTAGGGCAGCAATTATTTTTTACTGTGGGTTCACATAACACTAAAGACCTGGAGTAATTATGGTAAAAAAAAAAAAAAAACTGCTTCGCCATTACAGGAATAAATCACATTTTAAACTAGTAAACAGTAACCCAAAAAATACTAGCAATGTTTCCCAATTCAATCATTTCTTCTGCAATTCTGCTTAATCCGATGCAGGTACATATATAAATATTACTCCTCATATTTTTTTTATATAACAACTTCATTTATTTGATCATAAATAAATACACTTACATAAATATAATCATTTAACATTAATTTATTCATTCATTTAATTTCATCCTTTATTTATCAGGGGTTGCCACAGTGAAATGAACCACCAACTTATCCAGCATATGTTTTATGCAGCGGATGCCCTTCAAGCTGCAACCCAGCACTAGGAAACACCCATACACTCTTGCATTTACACACATACACTATGGCCAATTTAGCTTAATCAATTCACTTGTAGCGCATGTGGTTGGACTGTGGGAGAATTGGAGCACCCGGAGGAAACTCACACAAACACGAGGAGAACATGCAAACTTCACACAGAAATGCCAACTGACCCAGCTGGGGCTTGAACCAGCAACCTTCTTGCTGTGAGGCGCCCCCATAATTTAACATATTTTTAAAAATATTTTAAAGGGTAGTTCACCCAAAAAATTTTATTCTGTCATCATTTACTCGTCCTCCATTTGCTCCAGACCTGTTTGAGTTTCTTTCCTCTGTTGAAGTAGTTTTTTCTATAGATGTCAGTGGCTGCTTTTTTCCAACATTCGTTAGAATATCTTGTTGAGAAAGAATCTCAAAAAGGTTTAGAACCCATTAAGTGAGTAAATTTAAAAATAAATAATCATAAAAAAATGTGAAATTTTATTTGACAGTATTATACCTTACAATCAGTAACCCTAACCCTAATCATTTAAATAAAAGCTAAAAATGTCAGCCATTTAGTGACATAGCAAATCAAATATTTTATTTGACATTATATTTGATTAAATTGATAAAAGTCATTTATTTGGGTTAGAAGAATTGCAATTATTTTTTTAAAATATATATATTTCACTTTATAGGACAGTAGTTTTTCTTCTGATCAATGACATTTAGAAAGAAAATAATGTAACAAATGCAGTGTTCCACACAATTCCTTCACGTTGCTCCAACTCAAATCATTTAAGTTAACTGTTTTTATCAATTTAAGTGGATTGAACATAAAACAATTAAGCTATCTTACAAAACCCCTCAAGAATTGTGTTGATTCAGCTCATTATAAATAAGTAGTTTTATCAACCATTGTGTGTGTATAGGAAACCGAACCTTTTTGAAAATGTGCCATTGGCCATGCAAAAAACAACAACAACAACACCTTTCTAATTAAACAGTATATACAGGAATCAGAGAGTGAAATTCAATACCTTTTAAGACCTTATTTAAGACTCTTTTTATACATTTTAAGACCTTGTAACCATCTTTTAACCAGAAACACTGGCGAGATTTTAACTTGCATTATATTAACTAAATATAATTGTAAGAAACTAATCCAAACCTAAAATATTATCCATATACTGAATACAAATCTATGAAATCTAGCTCATTCAGCAGGTTGGCGCCTGTAGAACTGCAGAAATAATCGTGTTGTCTTGATTACTGCAGTAAACAAAGCAGCATGATGTCAAATCTAGTAGGATTTCATTTATTTCACACACACACACCATCCTGATATTCACAGATTTAATTCAGGCAAACTTTAGCAAACAACCATACATAGCATAATCAAAAATAATACACGGTTGAATACCTTGCAAAATAGCATTCAAATCTTTTTAATGGCTTTAAATTTCTCTACATTGACTTATCAACTTTTAATACTTTTTAAGACCCCGTGGACACCCCTAAATTATGAATTTGACCTGGCTGGAGCCAAAAAGATAAATAAAAACGAGTGTCTCAATTTAGGAATACACTAGATAAAAACAAACCAAAAGGAGGTGTATGAGAAGAGGCTGCCAGACTTGGATAGGCTTCCTTAGAAACACTAAACAGACTAACAGGTTGACAAATGCATACAGCACGCAGCATACCAACACATCCATACACATGCTGCACATGAAAAATCAACTCAAAATAACTTAATCATTTCACACTGCACAGTTCTCTCTTCATCCCTTAACTAAAAGCCTATTAAAGAATATTAGTCTAGGATCTGCTCTTAAATTCAGATACTATACCAGTCTCAGATCAGCTCATATTATCATATACTCACATTGACTATAGTGGCCATTCTCACCGCCGTGACTCTGACCATGAAGAGGCAATGCCGCCGGATGCCACATGACCGCGGGCACCACTCAACCAAACCTCCACGGGCACAGTTAAGCACCTGTCCGAGCACAGACTCACTCCGCTGACAGAACAGATGGGATATGAGCGAAGTGGGGACGGCGGTAGGGGGAGGATCCGCAGGGAGGAGTCTGCTCGTTTATGGGATTACTGGGATTATCGACGATTGAATCCAGCAGGAACCGTTTACTGCCACAAAGATCAGCCTCTTTCCAAGCTTTGACAAGTCTCCTTCTGCACAGACTACGCTTTTTGCCTGCCCCGGACTGAGGCTCAAAGTGTCATTAAATCTATCGCTCCAGATGGGCCACCTGTTGCACGACCAGGGATGAAGTGCGCTCAAGTGTGTGTCAGATTTAAGTAATGAAGGATTCAGATTTGAAGATTTACAGTGGTCGTTCTTTTTAAATAGGTTGTGTTGTGTTTATTGTAATAACACATGAATGCTTTTATTAATGCAGTTATGTGCCAATGGATGGCCCTTTTTTTTTAAACTGTACATACACATTATATATGTACTATGAAGTTGACAGCCAAATCTGTTTGTGCCCTGCATAATTGAGTACACCCCATTTTGAAAATAAATAATTTTATCAATTTCTCAGTGAATATGGTTCATATATATTGTTGCATTTCAACAAAACAGATTTATTAAACAGATATATTTATTAAAGTAATATTTTAGTCACCAAACATATTTAGAAATTGAAGGAATACAATTAAATTCAAGCAAAATATTGCAAAAAATTTACAAACTATAACATTTCTACAAAATTGTAAATATTTTTGTTTATCTTAATTTTTGCTATTTTTGAAAATTTTATTTACTATTTTTCCCTAACATATTAATTTGAGCTACTAATTTTTGAACCATTATAGTAAGGTATTTTGTTAGATAAGCTCCAGATTTGGCTTCAGTACTGATTAAACTAATGTATATGCACAAATATAATATTTTAACGCAGCCTACAGAAAATATTCATTTAAATGAGAGATGTGTGGGGGTGTACTCATATGTGCTGAGCGCTGTAACTATTGCACTTCTAACTTCAGACAAGGACGATGACAGACATGTTGGCTCTCACAATTCTGATATTTTTCTCACAATTCTGTATTTTCATCTCATAATTCTGACAATTTATCTAAGAATTGTAAGGAAAAGACAGAATCTTTCTAAGCTTGTCTTTTTCTGCACACATTTTGCTAATAACTCTCATGATTGTAAATGAAGTGGCACCTTGAAAGCCCTTTAACAATGCAACAGACTTTCTACAATGTATCAATACTGCTGCCGTTACAGTTTCATTGAGAGCCAGATAAATGGCAGAGGGAGCTGACTTTATATGACAGAATGCCTTCAGGGTGAATCTAAAAAAGCCTCTTTAATATGTCATTCCTATAAAAGCAATGCCCCACATGAATCAGTCTGAATGAAAAGAGACTTGAGATCACACAGAAGACTGACACAATTGGAGCTGCCTGTAGACATTCTATACCAAAACATGTATTACAAGTAGTCCATCTCTTATCGCTAACAAAAACATACAAAAACACACACTTGATATAACTAAATATTAAAATTGATCCTTATTAAATAATAAATAAATTGAACTAAGGCTCATTGGAAATATGTGCCTCTGCCGGCACTGTAAAAAAATCCATAATTTGACTTAGCCTGGGTCCCGGAAAAAATTAAATAAATAAATAACGGGCATTAAATTACAGAAGTTTACTGTTAAATTATGGACGTTAAATCACAGAAATTTCCTCAACTAAAATGTCTGGAAAATTTTCTGTAATTTACAGTCTATTATTTTATGGTAAATTTCTGCAATTTAACTGGCGCTATTTTACGGTTTGTATTATTTTATACCCCAGCTGCCGAAAAAAAAAGAAGGAAAATTACAGATTTTTTTACAGTGTACATTTTTGTAAACGCTAAATTACGTTGCTCTGGGTATATTTCACTACACGTTTCAGATGACAACTCCACTAGAGGGCAATGCCTACATTTTTGCGACTATAAAATATGTTACGTAGGGTACGACTTCGTTATATGTTTCAGATACGAGTGAAGGCCATGCTTGTCAGAAAATCACTGACAGTGAATCTATTATTTACTAAAATATGATTTGTTGTATGTTTCAGATACATGTTCTTCTATGCATGAAATGAGAAGGCAGGGCTTGTCGTACAGTTCACTGTAAGAAAAAAGTGAACTGCAACTAAGAAGTTATGCCTGTTGCAATAAATATATTTTGTTGTGCGATATGTTGTCATAGAAATTATTATAAGTGATATTATTGTCATTGTAAGACCAATTTATGCCACTCCTTATATAATGATTATACAAGCATGTAAATGGGCATACACACTTTCAAGGGACAAAAAAGACATGTAAATGCCTTTGGAAATTGGCTTTAATGTTACTGGTGAATCGTCACTTTTCTGAAATTGGACTGCAGCCTAGAGACAGAACTCATTAAGACAACTTCTTCCAAACCATCAGTAGTTTTCACATCAGGAAAATGTGAAAAATCACTTTTTCTCACTTGTTAGTAAAGATTGTTCCTCCAACAGAGATTAGATGAGTTGACAGACGCTGCCCTATCAGCTAAAATGTTGCAGACATTCACTTTTTATGCAAAAATGATGGCTGATATACAGTATATTGCATCAACAAAATTATTGAGGTGCATGTATTGCATGATGAGTAGATATATTGATTATTATCTTGATTTTACATTGTATATAGTGAGCTACCAAGCAAACAGACCACACCAGAAAAGTTGTTCATATGGAGATAGATAAATGTATTCGATTACAAATTTTAGTCAAGGTGTCAAGGTGTTTTGTGGTATTTATTTATTATCGGGAACTTAGCTATACAGTACCTACTATGTAGATATCAGAGAACAATTTTGAGTCAATGCACTCTATGGCAACTTCAGTGTTTTCCTCTTTGTATTATAACATGTTTGGTCATTAAAAACCAAATATTGTGCAAATGTGCTCAAGTTAAAACCTGTTATTAGTTAAACATAACAAACATTATCTATAATTTATAGATAATTTAGGATTTATGTAAATGTTTTAAAGCATTTATTAAACATTAAGATGTAATGAAGTTTTAGTCACTGACTCACTTTATTTTAGGGTCTTGCTATAAACAAACCATTATCTAAGACTTTTAGCTCAATAAAGTAGTAGTTTACTGCTGGTTGTAGATGGGTATTAGGTAGGATTAGACATGTAGAATATATCATACTTCATAAGCACTATTAATCAGCTAATACCTTAATAATAAGCAGATAATAAGTCAGTAGTTAATAGTGGGATTTGGTACTTAAACTAAAGTATTACCAAAGTTTCATATAATCATTGTTCTTTACACACCAAATTATGTTAAAACATGCATCACAGCTTTTTATTAGTAATTGTTGCCTTGGTGAGCATAAACACCTTCTGTAAAAAAAATAGTTCCAGCCTGCGTTGACAAGCACGTGAACACAGTTCAGCCTCGCTGTGTGATGTAAGGCTTCATGTCTAACATTTCAAAGCTGTATGTCCTCTGGGAAGCAATCAGGGTGCGAACACATCCACCGATCAAAATAGATTTCCACCCTTGCCCCAGTCTACTTTACCCCAGACTTACATTACCCCAGTCTGTTTATATACACACAACAAGAAGCAACTAAGAGCCAAAATAGCATCTCTGCTAGTTTATCCACCGCAGAAGCTAGGGCTGCAACTAACGATTATTTTAATAATCGATTAATCTGTCAATTATTGTTATGATTAATCGAGGAATCAGATAAAAAAAGGCATTCATTTTGCAACCCTTTATTCAAAAACAGAATTAAAATCTTTAGAAAGTGCATCCCTGAGCTCTTATAATAATAATAATAATAATAATAATAATAATAATAAAATAAAAAACTAACTTAGTAGTTTTTCCAGTTTTAATGCAAATATTAAAAAAAATCATAAATTAAGATACATACTAAAGACACATGAAATAGCGTTAAAAAATGTCTTGTTTTCTAAAAAAAACATCAAAATAAAGTGATTGTTTGCCTAAAACAAACAAAATTAATTTTTCAAAAACAATCTTCATGGGATATAATCTCAAACAGAAGTTTTAAGCATCACTTTATTTTTCTTGTCTAGTAATCCTGATTTAAGTTTTTTAGATGTTTGGACTGAAATGAGACAAAATATCTTTTTTGCAGTGTAGCTATACATGACAACAGATGGAAAAATTAATAATCCAAAAAAAGGCAAGTGAATAAAAATGTGTCTTTAGTCTTGCAATGCAAAGTGCACAGTAACTACACCACAACTGCTTTGCTGCTGTTATTAACCCTTTCACTGGTGAGTTTAAAAGATTCTATCTGGCCCATCTGAGTTTTGTGTGATCATTATTTTAGAATGCTTACCCTTAAGCATGGTATATACTTCTGTGTCAAGTAATCGACATGACCCAAGCATACCGTGCATTTATACTTCAGCATGATGTTTGTGTTGCTCTGCAATAACACTTCCGAAACGCTAGCTGGCAGTACATTTTTATGTTTCTCTGTGTCGAGCTTCTTCTCTGGTGTTTTTTTTTTTCTGAACGCGACCCTAACGTACAAGTGGCTCAAACTCACGCAAATGCGATAAGGATCGCATTTCGAGGCTGACGTGCAACAACTTTAATCATAAGATCACAACATCGGGTGCTCCTTTACAGAGCTTGACACTTATAAACACTTGCTGTATCGGGCTTGTGAGGCTCTCACCCCGGCCCACAATCGTCAGCAATACCAAGCCGACCAATCACAGAGATTGCGCTACGTGTCGTTGTGATATGTAGTTAAATTTTTTGAGAGGTGCACGTCAGCGTCGCGGACGACCAAAGCGAGGACTTTGTGTCCATGAGTAGGCTGCACTGTCGCATACGTGTGTGCTTGACGCAGAAGTATTAATTAGCCCTTAATGTTTCAGTGGTGACGCGTCATTTTTGTCACGTGACACACCGCAGCCACAATAGCGCTGTATGACAGACGTATCCCTGTTATTATGCCTTTC